GTCATTTATCCGGCTTCCGTATCCAAGCACCTCAAAACTATGTGAAAGATTTAATATTTACGGCGACTGTGTCAATAAATCATGAAATGTTGCACCCTTTGTCTTACACAGGGGTTCGAAAAAGGAAGAAAAAAACTGAATTGTCTACAGATTTTTCTGTTTTTAACAATTTTAACAAAAATTATAAGTGTGACCAGTCAATGTTCCACCATGGCATCCAAATCCAATTCTGATGTTTTAGTAGCAGTATCATACATATCTTCAAACCAACACAGAATTACCCGAAACAGCACTGGTTTTTGCAATATCTTAAAGTAATAATCATACTTTTATTAATCATATAAAAATTGTGGGTTATTTTTGCCCGAAACTGCCCTAATTTTCCTAGTCAGTCATGTCTTCTAAATTGAATACATTCAATCAGAGATGCTTCATCATCAGAATACGGGAGAAAGTAAAACTTTTTTGGAGGGTGGATGGGTGGCTAAGCTCCAAAGAAAGTTACTTCTTAGTTCTTATAAACAGTTATATGGAATTTAATCTATGAATGATAAATAGTAGGATCCTTTTGTTCAAAATCCTGATTAAGGGTTAATTTTATAAAGATATGTATGTGAGAAGAAGAAAAAAATAGTTTTGTATAAATTGTCAGCTTATTTCTGCATTATGATAAGCACATAAGCCATATTTAACATGAAGGAAGATGTTCACACTCGACATAATGACGTAGGCTGGTTAAACTATTCAAACAAACTGCTGTAGGAAGGAGGGGGCTCATCTGTCCGATCTTTCATATTATCATCTTTGAAATTTGAGATCACATTTAAATTGACTGGGACGATGTGACGTTCTTCCTGCTCTGTATTTCCAGGAGATGGAGGGGATATCAGGGCATTTCTAGGTTCTTCTCTACAGCTATTCATGTCGATATTTTCTGTAGCAGAAGTAGTTTGCATAGCAGATTCTAACAATGTTTGTGTCGTAAATTGGATCCCTGTTTGTCTAGACGCATGTCCTAAAGAATAAAACATTTGATAACATTTTCTTATGTTGACTGTTTCTTAAAAAGAAATACAACTTTTATGAATTGCATATTCTATAGAAGACATGCAATGAATAAAAACATCTAATAATGTCGGCGATACAGTCCCTGAAACGTTCTACTTTCCCATTTTTCCGTTCGCTCACCGTTCGTTCACTGTTTGTTCAGCGTTCGTTCACCGTTCACTCTCCGTTCACAGTATTGCGTTCACCGTTCACCGTGCACTCGCGTTCACCGTTCACCGTTCGCTCTTCGTTCCGTTTGCTTTGCGTTCACCTTGCGTTTACCGTTCACTTATCGTTCAGTCTTCATTGTCATTCGGAACTCCGAAGTGAAAGGACTTATCTTTTTGATGGTAAGGATTTACACGTTTATCAAATTAATAAATTAGATATCGTGTTTAAAGAATAATTATTTCATTGCAAAAATTATCTATGATATTTTTATTTCTTTTATTATAATTCAGCTGTTTCTTTTTCATGAAAATAATACATCAAGTACCTACGTGTATGCAGATCTACGAAAGCCCAGAGGGCTCATTCGAGATTCGAGATTCAAAATGCGAGATTCGAGATTCGAAATTCGAGTTTCGAGATTCAAGATCCAAAATAACCAATCAAAAGGCGGTTTGAGATTCAATTACTCCCCTTTATTATTTTTTACTATCAAGAAATGTTATATATTATCAAAACGAAATTTAAAGAAATATTAGATTTTGGTCTGCAAGATATGCTTAATTAATTTATAATAGCTTCTCAAGTGTCATAAGAGATTGATATAAAGAATATATATATTTCGTGTTATCTACTTTGGATACAGGGTTGTTGACATGATAGTAAATTAAAATAGATTAACAGTAGATACATCCCCCCTCTTTTCCAAACATAATTTTTTTACTATTAAAGATTTTGATCGAAAGGTCGGTTGCCAAGCCCCCCCCCACGTTTTGGTACAGTGGTGCAATATAGTCAAAGAAGAATAAGTAGTAGTGTATTAAAAGAAATTAGGTACTAAATGAAGTTCGATCCCCCCTCCCCGCGCCCCCTTTCACGCCCCGACATAGGATTTTCGGGTTTGAACAATTTTTTTCTGTCAGTTTTTATTTTCAGGTTTGAAATAATATTTTTGTCTGCCCCCCTCCCCCCTCCCCAACCCCACTTTCAAAATCGATGCTTTGTCTTTGTAATAATAAGTACTACGGGTTTCAAGGTGGATAGTGTTTGTGACACGGTATTAGAAAGTGGCCAGTGACCAAAGTTATGAAACCAATAGACAGCCCCTTAAATACGGATGGCTGAAACATGCATGCTTAATAAAGATAATGACCCATTGGAAAGAATAAATTAAAAAAAAATCATTGTTAATCCCCCTATCCCCACCCCAACCTCGAAAAATAGCGGTTATCATGGTAATTGGAAGTTATTTTTGAATGGACATAAGCATAAAGTTACTGTTTTCTATAGTATATTATATCGGAAAAATATTATGGGAATGGCCAGGTTGGAAGGGGGGGGGGGCAAATGTGTGGTTCTCAACATTCATTGTCAATCTTGCGATGCATAGCTACAATAAATATATATTCGATAATTATTTAAAAGGAAACCGCTCGGGTCTCGCCCGACTTGGTCAAAGACTCAAATATACTAGTAAAACCATAATACTCATTTCATTGGGGGGGGGGGGGGGGACACAGCCATTCATTTTCAGTTTTCAACTACCAAAAATTTCTTGACAACCAAAAACAAAGCAAAAAAAGTCATCAGATGTTTTTATCGAGGGGGCACAAAATTGAGGGGGCACAAGCATATAGTAGTTATGATTTCTATAGTATTTTATATATCGGCAAAATTATAAAATTATTGGGGGGCACAATGTAAAGAAATGCAATCTCATTAGTATTTCATATAATTAATAATTTTCTCCCTCATCAATGTTCTTATCAAAAAATGGTCGACTTAAGAATTCCGCAATTCAACGATAAGTCCATATAATATTTTATATACGTATCTATTGTTTAGTCTAATCAGGAAAAATAAGAATTTATATATATTTTCTAAAATGTAACCTAAAATTCCTTTTTATTTCGTTTTCAAACATATATTTTTTTTCTTGCATTATCATTTAAGCAAATGACCCATTTGATATGAATATATTCAACGATTTCTTGATAGTTAAACATAATAAAGGGGAGTAATCAAAATTGAACCTGCCTTTTGATTGGTTAATTTGGATCTTGAATCTCGAAACTCGAATTTCGAATCTCGTATTTCGAATATCGAATGAGCCTTCTGGGCTTTCGTACAGATCGATGCTGAAATATTAAATTTTAAAAAAGGCAGTGTACAAATGCTTCACGCACGGCAACATTTCGTTGCAATGTTAAAGTCGACAAATCATTAATGAATGTATAATAATTAATCCTTAAAGTCTTTTACAAGACAAGAATACACAAAAAAAAATTTCTACAGTTACACGTATTTGAAACTAAACGTTGATATGAGAATTATGAACAGTACAGCAAATATTCACTTGATTAAATATCTTTAAAGCTAATTAAATAGATAGCGTGATTTTAAATGTTAGAAAAGACCCACTGTTTAAAAAAAATTATTATTTGAGAAGGAAAATTCCTTCCTTCACCGTACCGAAATATATGTTTGCCATTCATTATAATTAAGACCCCTCCCCCGGGTGCCTTTTCTCCCGAAATAAAATTCTTAGTGAGTATTTCAGTATTTAACTAATAGGTACTTAATTTGTACTGTACCACTAGAAAATCCAAATCAAACACTCATTAAATAAAAGTACTTTAGAAATACCGACAGTAGTATTATAAATTTGCAGGGAATATATTTCAAACTCAATTTAAAACGTAATCCTTCCAAGTATATATTCCCTTATTATTTTTATTTCTGCAGGAATGCAAAAATCAGGTCTGGAAATGATAGGGGAAAATATTAAAACTTCTTTGAAATGCTAAGAGACTGCATTTGGCATGTTTGGTGAATCAACGATTTCACACCTTTACTGTGTCGAATAATATTGATTGACGGGACAAACACGTGGACTTTCTGTGACCCGTGTGAACTTGATGACGGAAAATAAAAGCCAATGATTACTGTCAAATGGAATTGTTAATCTAAAAAACATTTATTACATTTACTGCTTGGAATATTTAGGAAAAATAATAAGAATTTTTATTTATTACAACAGATATCTGAGAATCGAATGCTTAATACTGTATGTTAATTGAAATCTCAAAGAGATAATTATAGTAAGAAATTTGCTGCTCTTCTTTTTCCTAGAAAAATATTCATGATTAATTGATTATTAATATTACAAGATTTTCTTCATATTAAACGACTGAATACAACGTGTCTGTTTATTCAAGAACTCGTCGTAACTTTGCATTAAATAATATTTTTGTGAGAACTTTCTTTCGCTAATTTTGATCCTTAAATTTACTTACAGGATGCCGAGATTTTTGTGGAAGTTAGATGTAAAACTACACATACGTCATCGTATTCAATAATGACAAAATTAAAAATTGAAGACGAAGTTTTCATTAAGCTTTACATCATCATATTCAACAGTGACGACAAATGAAATGAAGGCGAGATTTTTATTTAAATATGCTAACATTCCTTACAGAAATGTCTTTCCTGATTTCTATTTACAATTATATGTCAGTTTTTAATTGCGGCTTGTGATAAATGTACAATAATATAGGAAAATGGATTTAAAAGTGAAAAATACGTATGAAACATTTGGAACTATATATATTCTTCGTATAATCCCACTATCAGAAGCACTATATCATATATATGTGGAATTGAAGCTGCAGCACATTTGGTTTTGGTGAATTAAACTAATTTCTCCAATGCGTAACTTTATGTTGATGTCACACAGTACACAAGGTAAATGACCACACAAACGAACATGTATATGTATTTCCCGCTCGAAAGAATCCTTCCTTTAGAATCATTACATATTCGATAAATACGGAACTCTTTTTCTGTACATTCACATGGACAAAATTATCACACAATTTATACACATTTTGTATTTCGAGACAAAATATTCTCCTTTTGTAATGACTACAACAGCTAAAAAGTTGGGTTAATTCCTTTGTACAAATTTCGATTCCAACTGCAATAATCCAGCTTTACAGTTAGAAGATTAAACACAGCTGCGACCTTTCACATCATCTTTTTCCCCCAAAACAAAATTAAATTCCCGATCCCGGTTCAGATTTAATCGGATGCAGTTTCCTTGAAGTTAGCGGCGAGATTTCATCCTCTTCGTCCGTAAAAGCAAATTTATCGATCTCGCCGTTCTGTAATCCGTTGGTTTTAATGGGAACCTTTATCGGTATTTTTAGAGTCGACGATGGCTGTTCGCTGTCATCATTAGACGAGGTTTTCTTCTTGATACTTAAATCTTGCGGCAGATCGCCATTGTGGGGAGACGCATTGTTGGAATACAGGGGCGACGTGTTCAGTCGCAAATTCAAATGAGAATGGGCAGTGGGCACTGTAATGGGCATGTGGGAAATAGGTGGGCCTCGTTCTGGGAACGAAAATATCCTTCCGGTTGACGAAGACATATGGCGGGCAAGAGGCGACGTTTGTAACATCCTAGCTGTGGGGTTGAATGAGTGTGGGGACGGGGAAGTGGGAAAAGATCGATTGGTGGGAGAGGGGGATAATGAATACAGAGAGGAGGGGGACACGGACGACCCCGGGGTCAGACGACCGTTAGTTGTGGTTGAAGGAACCCGCCGAGATGGAGAAGAAGTTTTTCGCCGTGTCGGAGAAGACGATAATGTTCGATTCAGTGGGGATGATGGGTATGGCTTCGGTGACGTCACTGTAGGCGACAATCCAATGGGCGACGGTATTGTTAAGCCGTTAGTATAACAGCTGTATGATGAATATGGCACGGTTAATTTCAGTTTCTGTCCATTTGATGAGGGTTTGTTTCCTTGTTTAGTGGTTATGGTTGAAACTGCTGCAGTTTGAGCGCTTGTAGCACCGACTTTAATAGATAATTTACTAGAGTCATTTTTCACATTAATGTTGTTTGATACACTTTTGGCTGAGCCATTTTGAGATATCTTGCTTTTGGCAGTGGGAGTTGAATTATTGATAGAAGATTCAGAATTTATTTTCTCTGACGTAGAGTTCTTTGACGGTGAACTTTTAGAAGAATGTGTTTTCTTTTCTGTGCTTTTATCCAAAGAGGGGGACTTAACACAATTGTCTTGTGTACACATTTTCTTTGCCATTTTGTCCGCCGTATTTTTTGAAGGTTTATCAGCACCAAGTGAATCAGAAGTTGACACAGAAGGTTTCTGTGCTACTCGGGGATGATACACAGGCGTTGTCAGTGTGGTACTCTTGGTGACAATACCCTGTGATGTGTATTTTGACGTGTTTAGCTTAAGTTTTGGAATACGGTGTGCACTGGGTGAAATGTCTGAAGTTGGAACAACCAATATCGCCGACTTGGATGTCGAAGTAGACGGTTGTTTTTCAGATTTACTTTTAGATTGCTTTTCCTTTTTGACGGGAGATTTTGCCAGTGTGATCGATGAAGAGGATAGAGTTTTAGACGGCGACTTGTCTATCTCCATGGGTTTGACTTTTGTCTTATTGGATTCACCCTCACTACAAGAGTTTTCGCCTTTCAAATTCTTATCTGCAGGCGTACATTTTTCTACCTTTGAAATGTTCACTTTTTCTTGAACTTTCTGCGATTGACCATTGTGTTTTTCTGTCTGAACACCATTCATTACTATATTTGTTTTGGTTAACTCTTTTGATGCCTTACTTTTCTCACTTATTGATTCGGTTATTTCCCTTTTTGACTCTTTGGTTACCCCTTTCGACTCGGTTATCTCTGTTGCTGACTCCTTTGTTTCCTTTGTTGACTTAATTGTCTCCTTTTTTGACTCATGTTTTTCCCTCGGTGACTCATTTGTTTCCTTTTGGGAGTTGGTTTTCTCCCAGTTTGACTCATTTGTTTCCATTTGGGAGTTGGTTTTCTCCCTATTCGACTCGTTTGTTTCCTTTTGTGACTTGGTTGTCTCCCTATCCGACTCGTTTGTTTCCCTCGTTGACTCACTTGTTTCCAATTTTGACTCGGTTTTCTCCTTGTCTGACTCAGATGTCTCCATCGTTGAGATACTGTCCTTTGGAGACGTACCAAATTCTGGCGTGGAAGAAAGAGGAATGGTTTTCTCAAAAGCAGTAGAAGTCTTTGCTTCCTTACCATTGTCCTGCATCGAAGTAAAAGACTGCGTTGATTCTTCTAGTTCCTTAACTTTGGACTTCTCTTCGTTCTCTTGTTTGGGTTTGCCGTCAAGGGAAGCGATTTTCTTTTCTTTTTCCTCCTCAGCTGAGTTTACTTTCGCTTTCTCTAGATTCAGTGTTTCAGTACACGAAACTTCCCGTTTAAACTTTTTGGCGGGATTAGTATACACCGTATAGTATAAGCACAAAGGCTCTTTCTGTAAAAAAGAAAAAAATAACACAGATGTTAATACACCTTGTACTATACGCACAAATTGTCATTTCTTCAAAAATATATACAATTATCTGTGAACAGGGCATAAAACACAGACCCAGGGTATTTCAAAAGAGTAATAAGGCTTTTTTGATTTGATATTTTTTTATTGAACCTATACTAGTAATTCTGCATACTGTATGCGTACATAACAATGCAATCAAAATAAAGCACAATCTCCATCCTCAAATGATTAGAGCAATCATCATTTCATCAACTCGAGTCAGAAACTGCATTTATAAATTCTAATTAGCTGCAATACGAACAAGCGGGCAAGAAGCAACGCATACGTTTGCAAAAATATAAATACCTCTAAAAAATAAGTACGTTTGTACAGTATCATTCATAAATCACATGACCACAATTCATTATCCCTTCGCAACGGAGTTTGAGAGGATATAGTATTGCAAATCGTGTGTGTTCGTTTGTGGGTGGGTAAGTCAATGCTGTACGAAACGGATGTGACCTAATTTGAATCGAAAGCAATATTCTCTTTGGAAGGGGATGTTCCGCCGTGTGGTGCCCTTATTTATTTTGTGATGTATTTTATTTTTATAATGCAATTATTTTACCGCTTATAACATGCTATATTGGATGCATATTGCAAGTAAATTTAATATGAACAATCACGCTCTTTTGAAGCTAAGCAGAGGAAATGTAGAATTGAATTGATTACGTCAAAAGAGTTTCCTGCACTTTAAGGCGAAAGGAGGTTATTAATGTAATAACAGAGTGAAATCAGTGCCATAGAAAGACATATAGTCTACAATTCAAATGATACGAAAATGAAAACCTCGCTCGTAGCGTGTACAATCGTTGCAATGTACGTCGTGACGAGATAAGGAGATCTTTTGCATACAAAACACATCAAGTATTAAACGAGGCGAGGAAAACGCATAACAAAGGAATCTCAGCGTCGACTTAACATCACATGTTAAATAGAATAAAATACACAAAATCGGTGCGAGATATCACCGTGTTTCCGGTCGACGCCTCCTATGCACACGCAAACTAATTAATGATTTTAAGCACAGAAAAAAATGTATCCTTCAAAATGTGTGTTGTATCTTTTGGAGTTAATGAGTTCAGGTTGATTGTTTTTACCGTCGTCTGGTTACATTACGCTGCACGGATAAATCTATTTGAAGTTGTGATTAACAAAAGGCTTGCTATTTGATTGTTAGCGATGGGAAGGAAATCGGAGAGGTTTTGTAAATACATATGGTTGTTAGCCAGGAAGCTGTGTATTTCGTATCGTTTTCTTATGAAAGACAGTGCATTTGAATCTTTTACATCATTCTTTCACTAAAATTCAAGAGATAAATAACTCCATCATGAACTTTTAATTCAAGTTTTTAAATTTACAGAAATATACATTAGGCAGGATTAAATCAAAAGTTTAATTACAAATCTTTTATATATATAAGAAGACCAATCTGCGTTTTGAAATTGCAAAATCTAACAGTTAAATTCTTTTTAAATGCTATAAGCGATAAGTTTTTTTCCAATATTTTAAACTTTATTATTAAAAAGACTACATGAGATATAAAGATTAAAAAAGTACAGGTATTAATTTGGTATAGATATTGATTTTGTACAGGTATTAATTTGGTACAGATATTGATTTTGTTCAGATATTGATTTGGTATAGGAATAAATTCAATACGCATTTAACATTATTAAGAATCCATGACTAACAAACCCTTTACATGAATATTATGAAAAAAAAATATATAAAGAACGGTACATGTACATGTATAACTATTCCGACTTATTATAATGTTATCAAAAAAGTTTAGTTCATTTTTTTTTCTAAATATTAAATTTAAACCTAAAAAAAAACCCAATTCCATTGATTTAAAAAAATAAATGGAATATTTCCAAAGAAGATAGCCAGAAATAATATTCCTTTAGGAATTCTTTGGTAAAAATTCATAATAATTTCCAGAAACCTAATAAATCACTGTAAAGAAAGATTTCTAAGTATTAATTTTTTTTTTAAAAAAGTAAATTTAAAATAAGTTCTCTTAGAAGTAAATGAAAAGTTTGTTTTATATGATTATTTTGAATATTAAATTTAATGACCACTACACAAAAAAGAAAAGAACTGCATTTTCTTAACTGAAATGATAATATCTCCCATTGTAATTTTGTGGATTTCTTTTCGTTTTCCGCAACTTGCCAAACAGAGCTAGGTAAAAATATTAATATTTAAAAAAAACTTAAGTTATATGTAATTAGAGATGAGAATGATGCATAATCTCATTTGCAATTGATATTTTTAAATGTTAATTTCGAATCTTTTGGAAAAACTGAAACGTGTACAGTAACTACAGGAAAGCTTGTTTCACCAAAACACAAATCAGCACTCTTAAAGAGATGTTAACTTCAAAGAAAATATAAAGTTAATTCTCAGAACTATCCTTCTTTGACATTTCTCTGTCATTCCTACTTAAAATTTGTGCAATCAAGACAATTTGGAAAGTTAAAGTACAAACTTAAGTATTTATTTCCGCCTCTTTGTGTAACTAAAACTTTTTGTTATGCAAAACCCCCATCTTAATTTGTAAGCATTAATCGGAAGGCTTTCGTCTTTGATTCCAGCAGAAAATATTCCATTTTAGAATATAATTCTTTTGGGTTTAATTTCTATTGTTTTTTTGCTTCTGACATCGATTCACGCTTAGATAAAAATGGGTTAAATGTTAAACTGAAAATTTTCAACGATGATTATTTTCGTTATTTCTGCTCCAGTGCTGTATGGTACATTTTCGCCCCGTTTCAAATTTGCTGAAAGTTAATGGGAGCGGAATGGGCATTAATAAAGACGACTTAAATGTCCCATCAATAAATTAATCGAAATATTATTACATAAATATATAAGCATGACAGTTTTTTTTTATTATTATATAAACGAATTTATTTACCCTTCTCCACATGTACATGTAAGCCACGTCAATGAGGGTGTAAAAATCACTGAGGACTTCGTCCGTGTGATACATATCAATCTGTAATAAAGATCAATAAAGTATAAATAAGACTTTTCGAAGACACGCAGCCAAAATTAAGAAAAAATAGAAGTAAATTCTACGCACACAATACTAATTTACGTTTTTTTTGTTCCCAAATTACTAAGTTTTGTTTTTTTTTCATATTTTTTGTGGCAAATTCTTCCTTTTTTGTAATGTATTAACTGTATTAATTTAGATATACTTTTTCTAGTTCTATCAAAATAAACTCACAATTTGCTGAACACGTTCAAAATTATCTACATACATGTAATTTACAAGTTTTTGTACCAGAGAAAAAAGACAGTGGAAATTTCGTCTAGGAAGATTTCAAGAAATAAGAAAGTTATTAAGGTTATACATGTATAAATATTGCAAAAACAATGTATTGATAACGAAATTTTCTCATTTTCCAAAAATTTTTATTCACTCCGTAGCATTTTCCCCTTTTCCTGACTAATCATGATGTTAAATATACCAGTGATGTAGAAATCAAAAGAATGAATACTATAAATGTAAAGGATAGAAATTTAGGGTTCATTAAAAATTTTATATACGATTTTATTGAAATATATTTCACACACTAGACCCATTTTTCATTCTTATTGCACTAGATCATATTCAGACTAAATCTGACACTTTTATGGTAGATGGAATTTATGTCAAGGTTGAATAAGAATGGGGAAAATTTTAGTTGAGTATTTGCATACCTGATAACGGTCACTAAGAGAAAATTTCAGGCGGATGAATTTTTTCAGCAGACCAATGGTCACCACAGCTGGACACAGAAGATATCGACAGTCACCAGTCTAAAAATAAATAATATAATGGATATCTGAGAAAAAATTCAATAAATGAGTTACAGAGTACTTCAAAAAATATTACAAAAATCAAAGAAACTGTTTTCTTGTTAGTATTACTGTAAATACTTTCCCTCTCCATATCTTACTTAAAAGTAGAGGAATTTTAAGTTTAAAATTCAGTTGCTTTGATTATTTTAACTTAATTGTAGATAAAGTCTGTGATACTATGAACTTCAATTTCTTACTTCTTTTCCTTTGTTTTCATTAGATTTTAAAGTTGGTTTTGGTGGCATTCCACTGCAAAGAAGAAATCATTGAATAATGAACAGGAAGCACTGATGCATCTAGTATGCATACATTTCTTTAGGCCAAGGATTTTTATCACGGGTACGCATAAAAAATATATTTTGATATCATAAATCATAATTACAAACTTATGTTACATAGAAATTAAACATGATATGTTTTACACTGAATAGGAAATATTTCAGCCATATATCGGCAAAAAAAAAGATAATTCAAACAAAACAAAATGTTTTTTTTAATTAAAAAGCAGACTGAATTATAATATTCAGATAGAATCAAAAATAACCCCACTCCATGGAAATGTCACAATACAGCAAGAAGAACAGAAGGGATAAAGAGCAATTACAGGTAAAGAATCTTACTTTGGACTGAGATGAAGGGCAAGGCTAATTTGTTCGTCCTCTGCAAATATAACCCTTTCTCTCTGGATTTCACCGTCATCATCCGTGTAATACTCAGGTCTGTTGGGATCATTCCATAAACTATCCACATCTGTTAACAAAAAGAGGTTTCTTTTTGGTGCTTTATTTTTTTTAATCTTTTTTGTTTGGTATAATATTTATATTTGTATTTGGTATTATCCAGAAGACCCAAATTAAAATAGTTTTGAGGTTTTCTCAATGCATAATGCATTTCAATAAAAGACGTTTTCCCTATTATTTTTGAAAATCTTTTTTAAGCATATTGGATACACTATTTATATCTGTATTAAATATTATCCCCATCTGTTCACAAGGAAAAAAACCTAATTTCTAAGACGCTCCTTTTCAGGGGTTAATGCTTCTATGTTGAGATTGGTTTTCTTAATGAATAATTTAATTAATTAATGAATAATTTAATTAATTAAGTAAAGTTTTCTTCCTTTGTGTAAAATCTTTTTCTAACATATTTGGTATAACATTTGTTTCTGTGTTTGATACTATCCACATCTGATAAGAAGAGAAAACTCAAAATTTAATGAGATTTCTCATCATTGGCTGAGGCTTCTAAATATGAGGTTTTCTCAATGCATAATATAATATATTTTAACAAGTGATGTTTTTCTCTTATTTTGGAAATCTATTTGGTATGCTATTTATATTTGTATTAGATTATATCCTAAAGACCTAATTCAAAGAGGTTCTCAATATCGGCTGACGCTTTTATAGATTGGGGTTATCTCAATGCATAATATATTTAATTCACTGAAGTGTTCCTATTCTATCTTTTTTTTTATTAACATTTGGTATAATATTTTTAACTGTATTTGATATTATCAGTATGACCCGAACTCAAAGAGGATGCTCAACATCGTGTAATGCTTTTTATGTCGGGTTTTTCTCAATGCACATTATATTTAAATTATTGAATTGATCTTATTATTATGGAAAATCTTTTTATACCATATTTCGTATAAAATTTATACCTGTATTTATTATTTATTTATTTTAAGCAGAAACACGAAACCTGAATTATTAAACGGAAACTCAGAAAGGTCTTTGTCAAAGTAAATAAAAGAAACGTCAATTCCAAAAATTCATCATAAAGAGAATAAAATGATTGGTAGGAAAGCTTTTAAGACTTTACATTAAGCTCGTTTAAAAAGTTACATGTACAGAAAACGTCATGCTATAATATTGTTTTCCCTTTCTATTCAACAATTCAAAAATCATTGTAAAATGACTATCGTTTTACATGTAGTGTTACTTGTAATTTAAATGAAAACGGAGAAACCTTATTCAAATCCAAGTTCTTCCAACTAAAATGCTTGAAGTAATTTACATAAAGGAAATAAGGAAAGGTTGACATATATATAAATTATGTTCTAGTGGAATCTATAAATCTCCTCCGTGGAGTTTTTGCATAAAGATGTAAAGATTAAGAAATACACATTTTCTAATGGTTCAGTTGATTTGTAACCACGTGAAACAATAAAAAATATCCTATACATATATATTTTACTCACTGAAAAATCCCTTACCACTATTTTCAAAATATGAAAATGAGCCAAAATTTACGGCAGTATGTGTTCTTAGAATGTATGGTAAGCTTACCTTTCCCCCTCTCTTTGTAGAAATCTCTTCTTCTTTTCATTTCGTCTGCAAATAAAAACAAAATATTTCACTTTCTTGGCCATAAAGTGGTGTATTTAAAAGACAGATATTTAAGTATTCTTACATGTACCTTATCAAATAAATTTTTGAACACTAAAAAACCTGTATAAATAATTACTTTTAAATGTAAATCAAAATACAACCTCAACAAATGGTTAATTATAATTTCAAGAAACAAATTTAATTGGGAAAATTACTAATTACTTCTTGAAACGCATTATACTGTGGGGTATCATGAAAGCACTAGGATTATCTTAAAGATGCCCTATTTACTTCTAGCTGTGTACTTATTAGCAGCTATTAATAGTAAAAGATTATATATTTTATATATTTTTTATCAAAAGTCATCATCACGTCCAATTGAAAGTAATATGTACATCCTTTATTCAACTGAATTAAATTAACCTGAATTATAATCCGAAATTGGAAAAGTACAGTATGACTAGAAATTTACGGAAAGTGATAACCTAGTCTTATAAAACTTCACCTTTGATATACACCCACTATTGTGTTGATATCCAAAAAAAAAAAAAAAATTAGCCACCTTTAGCAGCTGTATTGATAAGTTGTGTATTGTAACACTCCTTGGTTGAAAAAGACCTCACCTTTGATAAACAATTTACAGCAAACAGATCGAAACAAATGAACGAAAACGTTTTTGAGCTAAGCACGAAAAATAATTTACCGCGCCATTCACCGCTTAAATGCAATGAAACCCTATAGTAAAGAGCGTTATTGAGCTCATGTCAAGACCGAACATGGAAGTGCCTGACGATCGATACGCAGAGTGTGAAGTCATCTATATTTCATGCTGAGTGTTTGATGTATCCGTTGTCGGGTTATGAAGAGATTGATGAATGACCCGATCTCTGGGCGTTAAACATCAACCTTTCACCCCTGTCATAATTTTCTTTGTTAAAATTTATTCCTCGTACATCAAGGATAAGAAGCATATTTTCCAACTCTATCACGATATATGGAAGATATGAATTAAAAGACATTTATTTTGATAATATTTATTTTCGTAGGTGTTTAATTTTCGTTGCTTTTTAGGTATGATTGATTGTTTGATTGTACATGGTGTTTAATGTCCCATTCGAGAAATTTCTTTCTCATAAAGGAATTCTTTCTCATAAAGGAACTTCACCATATACCGGTGAAGGGCTTCAAACATAGATCTATAATCGGCTCTGAGGGCTAATATAGGCAGATTGGGATCTTTATCGTACAAACACCTGAAGGACCCGCAACTTTCACTTCAAAAGTATCGAGCGCTTGGTGAGGGAACAGTTGATAACTTATCGTCTTTGGTCAGTCGCGGTCGGGTTCGAACCCATGACCTTCCGATCACGGAGATAGCGCGCTCTAATTTCGAGGTTTGAGGAGACCCACAAATTCGTGTCCACCACGACCTATTTTCTTTGAGTTCAAAAGAAATATAAATTTCTTCCACCACGAACTCAAACCCTTTCGAGTCTATATTTTTTCATTCAACCAGAAAATTTAATCCTATAAAAAAGTGATTTTACAGTTCATATAAAAGTTTAAAAAAGCAAAAATTGTTTCCTTACTTTGAAACAATCCAGGCACTAGTTTATATACCAGATCTTGCAGAGTATGGTCTAATCTACAAAAGAAAATCAAAATTAAGATTGAAAGTTTGTCAGTTAAAGATACTTGTTACATTTGGTGTACTATATAAAAAAGCATAAATTGCAAAACAGATCGTATACCGTTAAAATTTTCTTATTAATAATGTTATATAAAGAAGCCCATTCCTATCCTAAATAACATCCTTATTTTAAATGAATAGTGAAAATGCTTATTTCGCTTTGTATTAAATTCTCTCTGATCTTTAAAAAAAACCCGTGATTATTTTAGAGATGAGCCGCGTATCATCGTAATTTTGTGTGACGTAGATTCTATAAAAGAGGAGCATCAAAAACGATTATGCCAAATGTTGCATCAAGCATATTCCATTCTGTTTCAGACCAGATATAATTAGCCGAATTTGCCAGAAGATACTAAGCTTCCTGTGTGCATTGATTTTTTTTCTCTTCTGTAAAACTATTCCATTCCACTAATAGCACGGCGGAATAGAGACTGTAATCTTACTGCAGGGAATTTTACAATACACAAAAGTTAAAAATGTTTTCGCAAGCATAGTTATCATATTATTTCCAGATGTGGAGTGAAGAACGCGACTTCGGAAAACAATCAATGTTTCATTTCTTTCTTCTTTTCTTTTAATCTTTGTATCTGAATTGGTAATATAATTATGTAATATTAATGTTTTTATTGAAATTAAATTTAAAATTTGTTAGATCATTCTTTTACCACTAATACTAGGTCTATGACTAATGAAGATGCAGCGGACAAATTTTATGCTGATATAAATAACAATTAACCCTTTCTCTTCCGGCGCATTTTACGTGATTTTGGAGGCCTTTTGACATGGCATTATTAAATTATTTCTAACTTTTTTATCCAAGGGGAAAGCTAGGCATAATGCATACCATTTTGTAGGAAATTTCTTACAGATGATATTTTATGACTGTTTAGATACTCAACCTTTGACCTTATTAGTAAAAATTGAGGTCAAAGGTCAATTAAGTGCAAAATTTTATGGAATTTTTTGATACTTTTTCATCTTTAAGCTAAATATTAAGTATGATGTATGTTGAAATAGGAAATTTGGGATATACCCACAAAAGAGCATTACACTGTACTACATGAAACACATAAACTTTTTTTTCAATTCTGCATATAACTACTTAAAAGGGGTTGCTAAGCAACGTAGATTTCTTTAATTTTCGGGCAGAAATTTTCATTTTTTACTCATCCTAGACACATTTATGCATCCCAGCACATATAAAAGTTAGATGTGAGGTCATAAAATTACAAGGGACATACAACAGATAAATTGTCTTAAAGTTTGACCTCATTAGAACTATTTTTAGGAGGTCAAAGGTCAAATAAGTGCAAAAGTTTCATCAATTTTTTTCAACACTTTTCAATATTCTTGCCATAATTTTACACAATGGATGCTGAAATGAAAAATTCTGAATATACTCTCAAGAAGGGATCAGAACTGCAATATCCATGTATCATTTTAGTTCAAATATCTGTTTAATGACCTTTAAGTGGTTGCTAAGCAACATCATTTTAAAGTTTTTGGCTATATACATGTACATGTTTGTTATTTCACATTCTGGACACATTCTAGACACTTTTTGTAAGATATGGGCCATAAAGATGAAAGAACATTTTTGTATAACAATTGACCTTGACACTCTTGTTCTTCAGGGGGTCAAGGTCATATCAGTACAGAATTCTGCTTTAAACTGTAAGTAAATATCAATTTTGAAATGCTTCAAACATGGATAAATCATCTAATAGTTGACGTAATAAAAATGGCGAATGACAAAATTTGCAAGCAAAGAATTCTGGTCTGCTTCTTACAAAGCCCTAGCAAAACATGTATACTATCTTTTTGTTAAACAAGAAATCCATTTTCTTGATGCCATTAAAAATAATCTTTATTTTCATGGATTTAATTTAAAAAGAAAAAAAAAACAAAATGATTTCATTACAAGATTTTTCTGGTATAACAGAGCTTAAGGGGTACAATAAAGACTTGACATGTTATCTTGGAGGGAAATAATAATAATAGATAGCATTGGCAATATTTAATGCAAAACTGTTTAGTCAATAAGTTGAAAATTTGACGCTTATATCCAAATATACAAATCCAGAAATATTGCAAGATGAATTCCAAATCAGACTGAAATCTTCAACAAAATGTTGAAGTGCACTTTTACTTTGTGTCCACCATTCTTTTATCAACTGTCATTTCTCTGTAAGACTGGAGGAAATTCTTTGACTTGTCCAAGACATTATTTGCTGTCAGGTACAAGTGATCAACTTCTATCCTGTAAAAGATTTAAATATTTTGAAACAGATACATGTCATTGTGTATATAAATTTATATTTATAAATAAAATTAAGAATGCTAAAATTACTACATTTGATTTTCCTTTTAATATTAAAATTGAATTCATTATGTGATTCAAGTATTTAAATGATATTGTTAAGTCAATGTATCAGGACTGATAATTCAACAACCTTGTAGTAAACCATCATGGTAAAATTACTGAACTAAAACAAATAGCATATATGGCAATCTGACTAAAGCCAGACCTCTGTTTACGCTATCGCAACATGTAAAAAAAATCTGGCATTAGATTGCTACGAAAGCCAGGAAGGGACAAGTAAATTTTTCAAAAAAGTAAAAAATGATATCGAATCGAATTAGACAATCTAATCCCACAGATTACTAAATTGTTCCCTCGATTTATAATATGAGATCTCGAATTACACAATCTGATCTTAAGGATTACTAATTCGCCCCCTATATTCATAATTTGAGATCTCGAATTACATACCGGTAATTTGTTTTCACAGATTGATAATTCAACATCTTGATTTGTTACAACGTCAGTCTTATGATTTTGGAAATCTGTGCTCTTGAATTTCATATGTACAGAAACATCCAATCATTTTAATCAATAAGTGCGTTCTATTTATTTTGTTTCAGCAACTGGTCATTTCCAACCTCTTTCATAACTAATTCAACGTATATTTATTTTAGAAATATTATGATTACACAAGACCCATATTCACTTTTACTATCTAGGACTTTCAATTATTCTAATCTAAGATTTTTTGTTGTACAAATATAAGTACTAGCACATGGATTTGAAAATGTTCATGCATTTTTCTCATTTTGGACCGTAATATGTAATAAAAGTTAGGATGTAAAATACTACAATATTCTATTTTTTAAACATGTATTACCATATCCGATATGTACAGATAAATAATTTAAACGAAATCATGGGAAGGGTTTACATTCCGAGGGAATGAATCATTTAAATTAAAAGAATGAATTATACATCTGAGATAACGGATTGTGTAATTTGAGGGAACGAATTGATAATCTGTGAGAATGAATTGGCAATTCGTTATAACACTTACAGATTGTCAATCTGAGAGAACGGATTGTATAAATCAAGAACTCGGTTTACTTTTATAAATTTTAAAAATTCTATGTCCCTTCATGGCTTTCATAGATTTGTTTTGTTTTGAACATATTTTATTGACAAGCAAAAGGATAAGAAACAAGTTCTAACAACTTACTAGTTCTTCTCATACCTGCATGGCTGCCAGGGTTGTAAAAAGAAAGGAGACAATAGACTGCAATGTTACTTCAGGGCAAAATTCCTGGCGCAAGGCTGTTCGTGAGCATGGGAGTGTTGATAAACCATCCAGTGAGTTTGACCATCCATGTATATGATGTAGGATAATTGGAAAGTGTCTGAAAAACTGAGAAAATGGAAATTCTAACCACATACTTTATGCAGATTGGAAATACAACAGCAGTCTATAAAAACAGCTTGTTCCATATCTCGGCATTCATTCAGATAGATATTACATGTTTAAATAATGTGTCTGTATGAATAATCAAGCATCATAAGTATTATGTGTTTCAAACACTTATTTTTCAAAATATAAATCAAATGTTTATAAACTTGTATGAATGCGATATCATGAGAATGACACAAATGAAATTAGACTTTATTTTTTGGAAATTTTAGAAATACAGAAATTTTCAATACCAAAACAAAAATTTACCTGTTCATTGGTGTCCTTACATATTAATTGACCTTCGTAGTTCATGGTGGGCTTAGAAAGTGGGTATTCACAGATGAAAGTATTGTTGAATATGCTGAAAGCACCCTAAAATTTCAATGTGAAAGTGGTACATGTACACACTGGTACATAGATACTGAAAACAACTATCCATTATTATGACAACTTTGATTTTACTTTGAACTTACGAGTGATTGTCAAAAGCATCAAAGTTCAAAAGCAATGCAAAATTGGCTGAACGATACGAAACACGCACACTGAAATATAAAGATCTAGTACATGTGTACATTTAGTTTTCTTTTGAACGTGAACTAATGCGTTTTAAACTTAAACTTTTCAGTCAATATACACGTATTCTTACCTGCTAATACCAAAGGCATGTCCGTATTATTTGATTCATTGATGTGATGATCTTCGTCGTGAAATAATCATGAAAATTGACGTTCAGATTTCGGATCACCATCATGTTTACACCAAAGCGGAAACACGTGTTTATTTCAATTCGTATCAACTCATACAGTGATGAGTCGTATTTATTTATAAATGCGAGTTTTTGTATTGTTAAATATAGATCTAATTAAATTGCAAATTAATAAGTATACAGTATAACAAGATACAACAATATTAAAAATCTGATTGATTTTTTTTTAAGTAAAGATCGACGTTTTGGAAATCTACAATTTTTATCAATATTGTATATCACTTCATAAAATATACATCATTACATGTACACTGTATGTAAATGAATAAATCAACATTCACTTCACAAAAGGCAGAACGAAAGTATATATTTGTTTTTTGCAATCTATTTTTTTTTTTTTTTGGTATTATGCATTTATTTAAAAAAAATATATTTAAATGGTCAAAAAAGTCTTATAAAAGAATTTGTTGTTTCGAGTAAGACGCAACAATATCGACCTTGACGTTACATGTAAATATTGACCGATTTTTCCATAAAAACTATGCAAAGGTCACCAATTCAAATTATCGTAATTAAGAAAATACTGAGCGTAAGAAAAACTATAAGGGCTTGTTGGAAAGGAAATTTTCTCTACTTTTACCAGCTTTATTTTGTTTTCCCTATTTCAACACAGAAATAAACGTAAAACTGAGCTTTGTTTAAATATTACGAATAAAATCGAGAAAAAACACATAAGTGCAAGAAAATTCTCGTTTTTAAAATATACCTTAAAGTAATAACAATAATTTTTACATATTTTAAAAGTAGAGAAAATATGCTTTAAGAATATACCATGCTTTCTTATAAAGTTAATCAGGAAAAAAATTGTCAATCGTCTGGAAAATCGGCAATCGCTTTGGAAAATTACGCCATTTTCAAAAAGTCTCGTTTGTCTTTACAACGTAAAATCGATTAAATACCGGCAATCAAGATATAATCTTTTTAGATATTTTAAAAGTAGAGAAAATTTCCAAAAAGATGATATATAGCTTATATACCTTCATGCTACCACAAAATAGATACGGAGATCTTATTTTCGCGAAGTCCTGTTTTAACGCGCCACCGGTCAATTTGACCGGTACGGAAGTGAAGGGGTTAAGAAAGGAACGTGTATAAATTACATAAAGATATACAATACAATATCTTGTGAGTTACACATTGGTGAATGATAAAAACCTCACTATGCTTCTTCTGTCAAAAATGGAACTATTTTCACGGAAGAACAATTACTTCTTTTATATTTCAATTAGTAAAAGATCATAGCCATGATATTCTATGATAAACAAGAATAAAAATCAATATAGAAATTCAAATTCATCCGAGAAGAGCCACGTCGAGTATTTATTTCGATAGTATTTTCTTTCCCTTATAACTCGTTGATAAATAGGAAAAGAAACGGCTAATTACAAAGCTTACAAAGACTGAATACAGAAGAAAATTAAAAAAAAATGTATCAGGAACACATCTTAGTCTATTAAAGTATAAATAGTAGTAATTTAATCATGTTATTACGAGGGTTGATCCAATAGTCATGTAACAACTATTATTAAATCTTAAACAAATCAAAAAATTCAACATAACTTTTGATACTTATAGGCCTATCCGTTTTGACTTTGGGTTTAAAATTTCATTCGATTATATGAAATACTTTTTAAAAAAAAATATGAAGATTAATATACTGTAAGGTTTTGTCTGTTGTCATATGATAAGAATGTTACTGATGTCATCGTGACGTTATATAATTATCAGTTTTCAGTTTCAGTTCATACAGATATCATTTTAACCTCTCATATCATTCTTCTTAATTATCATTTAAGCTATTTTGCTTTTAACCTTTCAACTCTCCAGTTGAAGTAAAAAAATCATTTGAATTTGTCCAAAGTTTTTTTCTAAATTAATTCCTTTTCAAATAAATGTATACATGTATGTATCATAAGATTCAAAAATGGCCTCTGAAGAGCAACGTTCGTACATGCATGCCATGTGGCGGCAGAGGAAACTTTACTTACAGCACTTATTTTGATATTTTAGAAAGTATAGTATATACATGATGGGATTTTAGTTCAAAAGTCCAACAGACAGAGGTGAGATTATACGAAATTAAGACAAAAACTGTCTATTCCTAAAGATTTTATTGCAGTTGTGAAATTGCTTTTGGATCAACCCTAGTAATTAAATTATTATCATGTCTTTATATTGACATACTTCTTCTTTGTCATTTCTCTTTTATTATTTTCTATTTTTAAATTAATATTTCATTTTTATTTTTGATTTTAAACAATGTCAAATGGATTATTGTTATAAATGATGCAACTGTAACAGTTAAGAACTAATAAGAATAAAAAAAATAGATACAACGTAGACGCATATTTTCACCTTGTTGTTTTGAAAAAAAAAACTCTGCATTTTTTGCATTTGTTTTTGTCATCCTCAAAAAAAACTATATAATATTTTTGGTTAAAATATCTTTAAATCCATGAAATATTATAATTTCAAACAGAAATCAAGCTCAAAAAGTCCTCAGGAACATTACAAGTTGGTATTATAGAAGAGCATACACTGAACTCTAAAACATTAGAGGTGGGATCAGGTGCCAACTCATCCGCTTTATTTCCCAAATATTAAGTAATTAAGAGCCATTCTCTGTAATGATTTGAAATTTTATATAGGAGCTGTGGCACGCATAGTATCAGAATTTCTCCAAACTCTCTATGATAAAAGTCATTGACACCCTAAACTGAAATCAAACAAAAACTGGTTGCTATGTTTTATAGTTACCATGGCAACATGTCTTAAAGTTCGAAAAATGGCATTTTTTAACATGTTTAGAGCCCCATATTTAACATTTGCGGCAAAGCAAATAATTGGCAATGACTGTTTCCAAAAGTTGAAGGTCAGATGTCTCAAATGCATGATAAACATGTTTGGTAAATCAACTATTACATACGTTACTATGGTATCAAAGTATTCAAAAGTAAAAAAAATATCCATTGAATTATATAAAGTCATACACGTAAAAATAAAAAGCAATCATA